GTGTGTGTGTGTGTGTGTGTGTGTGTGTGTGTGTGCACACACACACACACACACACACACTCACACACGTAAGCCAGTAGTGCCCTGAAATGGCATTAGCTAAGTCTTAATTCAGTCAGAAGGTTTTTAGATTGTTCAACACCTCAACACTGTTAATATAAGAAAGATCACGTAATAGTCTGGTTTATATTTGTCATGGCATATCATAACACACTGTTCACTGTTACAACATATTACTCAATGTACTTGGCCAGGCTTATATGACAAATGTCATGGTAACTTTTGTCTTGTCTAAGCTTTATTTGAATGGCTAAACAATCCAAGAAACAAAAACTGGTTTATTTTTAAACTGCAAACTTCAGTGTGAAGCAAAATTTTAAGACAACATAAAGATAATGTCTTGGTATGGGTTTTGTTCAAATTTATCCCCAAACTATATGTAAAAAAAACATAACCTATGATCATTATCTTTTTTTCTTCAAATCTATCTTAGATTCTGGAGACAGTGATGTTTACGATGATGTTGAATCCACTGACTTCCCTCCCCCCCCAAAAGAAATTAGGCAAGTTAAAATAAACTAAAAAGTTTGTTTGTTTTCTTTGGTACAGAGTGGGGGCTGGTTGACTTGTTGTATAAACTAGTAAAAATAATTTGCAGCTACCTATAAACATACCAATGTAATGCACTGAAGTTTTTTTTCCTAATATGTTGTTTTAGCCTCCCAAAAAGTATAAAATCTTTCAACTTTGGGAGGGGCAGATCTGATGACCGTGATTCACAGAAGTTTAAAAAAATCGACAAAGAAGAGAAAGATTTTCGAAAAAAATTCAAAGTAAGTATTTGTTTGATTGAGTGTAAATATCAATGTGTTAAATGAACATAAACATGAAAGCAATCTTAAACATATCAGGGTGGCATCTGATCATTATATAATGTCCCAGCTTCACAAGAGCCCAATAAATATTGACAAGCTCAATAAATACTGAAAAGGGGCCTAGTTTCAACAAGATGCTTATGATTCCTAACTATGCATTTTAGTCCCATACCTAAAACTGGTGAAATGATAAAAGTGTGGATCCAGTGCTTGGAGATTGTCAGGGCTTGGAAGGGAAAGAACCAGAGTTGGTATTCAGCAGGTTCTGATCAGTTCTGGAGAACCGGTAGTGGAAATTTTGAGTAGTTTGGAGAATTAGCAAATACCACTTCTGATTGGAGATTTTACAGTATCCTTCCCTAGCCACTCCCACCAAGCAATGCCCACAGAACCGGTAATAAAAAAAAATTGAATCCCACCACTGGGAAGAACAGGTTTAAACTGAATCCTCCAAGGTAGGATAGCTGTGTTTATTTCTGAGATGAATTCCAGGGTGGATGGGAATTGTCTCTGAAAAGAAGTGGCAGGATCAGCAGGTGCCTGGAATATTGTAATGCACTGTACAAATGAAAGTGGTTAGAAAGGATTTGGAAGTTATAGTTGATACAAAATGCAGGGGCTCAGGGATTGACAGGTGTACCCCCAAAATAGTGATTCCACTATTTAAGGAGTTGCATTGGTTGCAAGTTGGCTTCTGGGTATAATTTAAGATGCTGTATGTCACCTTTAAGGTCCTACATGGATTCAAATGGAGTGATTTACATAGAGTTAAATTTGACAGATAAATATGTTTGACAAATAAAATATCTCAGGAAGTGACTTCTATACTCATCTGCCTCTGCAACTGAAAATGAAAATGAATTGGGTTGATTCCTTCCAAATCCTTTCTATACACAAATGCCATTGTGTTGTGCAAACTTAGCTGTTATGGCTCGCATGGCAGTGAATATTTCACATGACCCATAATATCGGGTCTCTCATTTTCTCTCTCTCTCTCTCAAGTTATAATAATCTTCTTTTTATAATCTATTGTATTCTAATTATCAACATCAGAAATCAGAAGTAACGTTTTACTCAAAAAGTTCATTTTCATTGAATCGAGTGGAGTTCATTTTCTGATAGTAATAGGTTTAGTTAGATGCTTTAAAATCTTAATTCATAAAAGCTTACCAAAAAGCATTTCAAAAAGCTTCCTTGGAGAATAGTTACTCTACCTTCGTTCCCCTGGGAAAAATGTGAAAGTAGTATATTTCCCCATTGAAAACACTGTTAGCACAGCGTTTTGTAGGTCTGATAGCAAGAGGAAGTCATTTGGTAGCCTCAGGGGAGTGTTCAAGCCTTGATCCAGAGGAAATGCAAGTCTCTGAAGAACATGATGTGTTGTGTGGTTTGAAATTGTCTGTGAATCAAAAAATTAAAAAAGGATGCAATTTTGTCGGGTATTACTACACTATGACTTTCCTCGCTCACCTATCCACTGCCGCTGCTCTTCTGAATGTGTAAAACCCAGTACACAGGGGTGGGATTCTACCAGTTCACACCTATTCGCTAGAACCAGTTGTTACCATTCTAAGCAGTTCGGAGAACCAGTTGTTAGAAGAAATTACTGGCCTAATCCTGTAAGGAAGGCAGGAAGGAAACATTCTGGTGTTGCTTACAGAAACTGCCTCTCCATTAACCCTCATTACATTCTTGGCAGGACTAGACTTCCTGTCTCAGAAATGTCTGTGGAGTTTTTTTTCCCCTCCTTTGCTGGTACTTTGCTTGTGTGGAGGGACTGTAATGTGTTTTTAGGGAGTGTAATTGTATATAGGAAAGACCTTGGAAGACTGGGCAAAGAGATACCAAGGGAATGATCAAGTAAGAGTCAGCATAGCCCACAACCCTTATAGTGGTTGGGACAAAAAACTCAGAAGAGACTCTCCCTAATTTCTTTAGCTGTAAATGATGTAGGGGGAGAGAATTTTACTTTCAGACTTGTAAGATTCTATCAATGAAGTTTTACAATAAAGTAGAATTACAGTAGCTCATCTAGCTGTGATTCCTATCTGCTTTAGCCCGTGAAGCTGACAGGTACAGAAAACTCTGTGGTCTCAGGAATGGGATGGAGAAGCAACAGATGGGCCACTGACTTACTGCTCAATTGGAATAGTGTTCTAATATAAATCCTATCTAGTCCCTTGCCTGGATCATGAGGCAAGAAGAATAGTTGAACAAAGATCACTTACTATCTAATCAAATTGTCTGGTACTGTATGCTTTGAGAGGGGAAGTCAAAAGAATATCAGGCAATAGCCTGATCTTCCAACAAGATTACATTTTATTCAACTGTACACAAAGTCAAAAGTATCATTTCAATTGATGTTTAATTTTTCTTTACAAATAATTATTTTATTTCCACAGTATGAAGGTGATATTCGAGTTCTGTACACTACTACCATATCTAAAGCACCATCCCCCAAGAAAAGAGGTTCCAAAGATTTGCAAGTCAAGCCAGGAGAACTGGTTGAGGTTATTCAAGAGGTGGATGATACTAAAGTGCTTTGTAGGAATGAAGAAGGAAAATGTAAGTACTAACACAGAATGGAAGAAAATAAGTTATGAAAACCAGAAGTGGTCACTGTAGCCATCCAAATATTGTTGAACTCCAACTTTCATCAGCCTTAATGCTTATGGCCAAACATAAGAAATGATGGGACTCACAATCCAATAACAGTCAAAGGGCAATAAAAGTATATAGGAACTTTGTACATTCAAGATCATTGTGAGCCATACAGGCATTACTAGCAATAGCTCAAAAGATTTTCAGATTAATTACAGAACATAATTATTTTGAACACTGCTGAATATTTTTATTTAATAAATAATATGTCCTTACTAAGCTCCTATTGCTGTTTTTCCATTGAGACTAATCTATTGATGGTTAAAATAAACACCTCCTTTCTAAAAAGAAAAATTGGTTTCAGAGAATATTCATCTATATCTGGAGGGAAGGGCTGGGTTTATATGTTACATTAAGCCACAGCTTGTTTAACCAGGTCTTGTTCATTAAACTCTAGTTGGAAAGTTATATTATAATTATAAGCCAAGCTTTATAAACTACATTGATTCAATGCCCAGGGTCAAGCCCAGGGGTGAGATTCTATTGGTTTGGCTTGGTTCAGGTGAACTGGTTCACTCTGACAATCAGCCGTTGAGCCCGGCTGCTCACCCTGGTTCTAGTCTGTGTTTTATTTCTGGGTTTTCCAGCTGAGCTGATTTGCGTGGCCCAGGAGATCGCTGCACATCAGCTGTTTTACACACAGGGCTTGCAGCAAAAGGTGGGTTGTAAATGCTGCGTGCGCATGTGAAGCGCACGCTCACTGAACCAGTTGTTACACTGGTTGAATCCCACCCCTAGCCAAGCCAAACAGATGCCATTATTCACTTAGCGTGATTCCTGAATCTAGATATTTATGTAGTTCTTAGCCACAAATTTGGGGAATTGCTAGGTTCTTGGCCAGCACCAGCCCAAATACAATTTTTAATACTGTGCTAGCAGTAGTAGCTGTTTTGTGTTGGGAAAAAAGAAATTTGCCTATATATTTGTGTGAGCATTCCTCTAAGCCAAACAGTAAAGATAGCAAAGTCATTTATAAGAGAAAGTAGATTTATTTAAGGCAATTGTCAAAGTGTGACTGGTGGTACTTTTATAGTGGGGTGTCCATGTGACTTTTGCTTGACAAAGACTTTTTTGTTTCCATTACTATGTTCAAGTAGAAGATTTACAGGAACAAGGAAAAAAATAGAACTACTGTATTTACAGTAGTGTGTTCAAACTTCCAGTACAAAGTTTCTTCCTCCTTCCTGTCTCTCTCTAAAAGCTCTAACTTTATCTATCTCTTTCCCAGAGCTATTGGCTTAGTTGCTTAGTCACCAACTCCCCCAGCTCCTCCCAATTTGGGGCTTCCTCCAGATCCCCACATGACCTTCTGCAGGCAGCCACCGCTCTCTCTATCTCTCTATCTCTTAGGGTTTGGTAAAACACATCCCTTTGTCCAGGTTTTGGCTTCTCTTTTCCCAACCAACATTTTTAAACCCCTCCCTCTCTCTGGGGCAGGTAATTGGTCAGAACCTTCCCAGTGATATCTCATTCCAGCAGTGGTGGTATGCTACCGGTTTGGCCCGGTTCGACCTGATACGGCCAATCTGGTAGCAAAAATTGCTACTGGTTGGACTGAACCAGTAGTAAAAAAAAAAAAAAACCTCCAGCAATCATCTGAGAGGAGAAAGTAGAGAAAAGTGCAGGATCAACCTTCCCACTTGCCCCTGCACTTTTCTGTTCCTTATTCTCTCAGCTGATTGGCACTACAGGCCTCAGCTGGTGTTTGGAAAGCTGCGCGCCACATTAGGTGCTTGCACATGTAATCACCGAACCAGTTGTGGAACAGGTAGGATCCCACTGCTGCATTCCAGCCACCAACTTCCCGTAGGGTTTCTCCAAAGGTTCTCTCTCTGTCTTGATACTAGAAAACAGCCAGCTTCAAACATGGCAATGTGTTCCTCCACAACTAAGAAGGTCAGGCCTTTAGACTCCCCCACTTTCAACACTAAGCTTGGCCAATAAAAATACTACCTCCACCTGCCTCACAAGAGTCCTGATTAGCAGCAAGGCAGCTCATCTGTTTCCGTGACAGCACAGCTACAACTCAAGGCCATACCTGAACCTCTCTCCGTCTTTTTCTTTCTTTCTTTCTTTCTTTCTTTCTTTCTTTCTTTCTTTCTTTCCCAGCACCAGCAGCCATCCTGTCCAAACAAACCATATTCCACAGCTAATATATGATAAAGAGGAGAGGTTCTTGCTGTTCTCTGAGCTTGGTTATTGTTGTTGTTGTTGTTGTTGTTGCAGATGTTTCATTACCCAAAGTAGGTAATATCATCAGTGCTAGTAAATAGTTGGGTTTGTTCTGAGATTATATTCTAATGCAGGGATGTCAAACTCACAGCCCGTAGGCTGGATGCGTCATGTGCTGGCCCCGCCCCTGCCCGGTTTAGAGAAGGGGAAAAAAGTCCCAATATGTCACGTGATGATGCCATGACAACGTGAGTTTGACAGCCCTGTTCTAGTGGCTTGCCCTATCAGTATTGGTAGGCATAGTCTTGGAGATTCTTTTGTTGGGTTGTTTACTGTTAGATCGTTTGGCAGTATTTTGATTGGGGTTTACTTTTGTTGTTGTTTACTTTTTGACTGTTAGACAGATGTTAGTCTTGGAGTTAATTTATGCTCATCTGGGTGTTGAATAGTTGTGGGGGAGATGTGTGATGACCCAGGGTGGGGATACAAAATAAATACAGTCACAAAAACCCAGTGAAGCCCCTTTTATTCCTTCACTTTGCTTCCAAGCTCCAAATGTCCTTGATGGAAGACAAAAAACTCCCACACAAGCAGTTACAAGAAGGAGGGAAAAAATAACACAAAACAGGCAATATAAGGGCTGAAGGATATCCACAGATAACAGAACATACGCTGGAAAGGACGCCAAACTCAGAGAGGAACCATAAACTAGAGATATTTCCACACTTTGTTTCCACCGTTCTCCTGTACACATGTCTGTCCTTTTATTCAGTTGTCACAGCTGCAGCCCATGAAGAGGATCAAGGCCCTCTCCTCCTGAGTAGACCACGCCTCTCCCTTATCCTCTCCTCCCTGTATGCCCTAGGATGGAGAGGAGATAGGCCTGGGTCTTCCTCTGACTGCCCAGCCGGCCTCTGCCCTTCCCCAGCCTCCTCCACAATCTCCAGAGCCACACTTCCACTCCCTGTTGGCTGTTCCTCCTCTCCCTCAGAGTCAGTCTCCACCAGCAGCATGACAAGATGTTCTGGTCTTTTTGTTCCCATTTTGGCTTGTTGCTTAGTATGTAGATGTTGTTTCTTTCTGTGTATCTAGATTTCATGTATTCATGCTCTGGAACAAAGGCAGAAGGAAGACTCTGAGATTAGCAGTCTCAGAAGACAAAAGATTGGTTAAAGTGAAAGACAAGGGGACACTGAGTGAATCCATAACTCTCTGTCTACACCCCAACACTCCACATGGTCAGAAGGAATTGAAGAGTCAGTGCCACTAACTCATACACTTTCAGTGCAGTAACAGTATAACAGAGTTGGAAGGGACCTTAGAGGTCTTCTAGTCCAACCCCCTACTCAAACAGGAGACCCGACATCATTCTGGATAAATGGCTGCCCAGTCTTTTCATAAAGACCTCCAGTGATGATAGTATTGTGCTGCTTGGCTAATATCAAGGATTTGAAAAATAAACATACTTAAGCAATGTTAATGAATGCACTCAGGGAAAATCTTTATTTTATTTTATTTATTTATTTTTATTTGTCAATTACTTACAAGATAATAGGTGTAAGTAAAAACATAGTTATGAATACATGGTTACATATAAGAAAAATAAAAAATAAAAAAATATAAAAGAAACAATAGGACAAGGACGGTAGGCACATTGGTGCGCTTATGCACACCCCTACAGACCTCTTAGGAAAGGGGTGAGGTCAATAGTAGACAGTCTAAGATTAAAGTTTTGGGGGTTTGGGGAAAGACCACAGAGTCAGGTAGAGTATTCCAGACATTGACCACTCGGTTGCTGAAGTCGTATTTCCTGCAATCAAGTTTGGTGCAATTAACCTTGAGTTTGTATCTATTGTTTGCTCTTGTATTGTTATGGTTGAAGCTGAAGTATTCATTGACAGGTAGGACATTGCAATGTATGATTTTATATACCATACTTAGATCAGACCAAAGACGGCATAATTCAAGGTTTTCTAGGTCTAGAATTTCGAGTCTGGTGGCATAAGGTATTCTGCAACGAGTAGAGGAGTGGAGAACTCTTCTTGTGAAATATTTCTGGACTTTCTCAACTGTGCTAATATCAGATACGTAATGTGGGTTCCAGACTGATGAGCTGTATTCGAGTATTGGTCTAGCAAATGTTTTGTATGCTCTAGCTATTAGTGTAATATTACCAGAGAAAAACTCTGACTGGTTTGGTAAATCTTTCATACTAATGTTACATTTTAGTCTTCGTTAGTTTGCCATTTTTGTGATGTCATGGCTTATTCATAACAGTTTTTTTATCACCCTTCTGATACACTGGGACTTCAGTTCCTAAAATCTCTTTCTAGCATTGTGTAAAATGCAGGAGTTGTAGTCCCAACCTATTAAATTGAATTCTTTATTGTCATTGTACGTATATACACAGTAGACATACAACAAAATTCACATAACATCCAGAGACCAGACTCAACATGCACACACACATGACAATCCCCAAACATCTCCCCACCCACCAAAATTCCCCATCTCCTAAAAACACACAAGCATCCACATAACAGACCAAGTAATACTATTGGTAGTAGGTTATGGAAGGGAAACTTTTCACGCCCCATCTAATGTGGGCAAAATATAAATTTTGTTTGAATAATTATTAGAATTGATTAAGGAGCCACGAAATGATGGTGTTATGGCCAATTGCCCTTTTTTTCAGCATCATGCTGAATGAATGGCCATTTTAACTTGCTTTTCTGACTGCACC